ATCTCCCCATATCGGGGCTGCATAGCTAATAACAGGCCTTACAATGGAATCATACTGTTGTAATACAGTTTTGTTAAGGTAGAGAACTGAAAGCCACCAAAAGTTTTACATTTGAAAATGATAAGACCAAGTGCTCTTCCTGCAGAGAGAGCTACATTCTTAGCAGTTTCAGCAAAATTAAAAACATCATTTAAAATAACGCTAAGATACTTCAAACTATGTGCAACAGGTATCATTGTCGAACCTATAATAAAACATGATTTACAACTATTTGTTCTAATATAAACTACATTTGACTTATCACCGTTAACACTCATTTTATTATTAATTTATACACCAGACACTGAGAATGTCAAGCAAACTTTGTAAATCCCTAGCAGATTCAGCAATAAGCGCAACATCGTCTGCATATAGTAAAATACTGATGATAACATCAATGAATTTAACTCCTATACCTGATACTTTAGTTTATACAGATTTATTTTAGTTCGATTGTGTTGGAAGCTATAAGCTTATTGAAACACTATCGAATCCGTTCCTTGAACCAACCAGAACTAAGCAATGAATGTAAAGTCTCTTGCTCAAGGAAACAACGGCTTGGCCCTGACAGGGTTTGAACCCACGCGGTCAGCAATCCTTAGATTACTAGTCCGACGCGTTAACCACTCGGCCACGCCGCCACTGATACTTTAATAACCGTAATTAAGTCATATACATTGATATAAAAATTAAATAAAATTGGCGACAAAAACTATTTTAGGTATTTATCTTTTTTCTATCTCAAATATACATAAATACAACAGGCTCTGATCATTATTTATTACTCACCATTCATTAACCACTTAAACAAAATAACTTTTCACGTAGATTCGACTTTGTTATACCCCCACCACAAAATGTGGGGGGGGGGGGCTATAATGGATTCGCGTTGTCGCGTCGGTCGGTATGTCGGTCCGTCCGTCTCCATTTTCGTGTCCGCTCTATAACTCATATACCAATTGAAGGATTTTCTTCAAACTTGGCTCAAATGTTCACCTCAACAAGGGGATGTGCAGAACCCATGTTGCCCATGTGTCAGCTCAAGGTCAAGGTCACAATTGAAGGTCAAATATCAAACAATCAAATATTACACAGTATGTCGTGTCCGCTCTGTAAGTCCTACACTAATTGAAAGATTTTCTTCAATCTTGGCTCAAATGTTCACCTCAACAAGGGGATGTGCAGAACCCATGTCACCCTTTTGCCGGCTTAAGGTCAAGGTCACACTTGAAGGTCAAATATCAAACAATCAAATATTACACAGTATGTCGTGTCCGCTCTGTAAGTCCTACACTAATTGAAAGATTTTCTTCAAACTTGGCTCAAATGTTCACCTCAACAAGGGGATGTGCAGAACCCATGTTGCCCATGTGTCAGCTCAAGGTCAAGGTCACAATTGAAGGTCAAATATCAAACAATCAAATATTACACAATATGTCGTGTCCGCTCTGTAAGTCCTACACTAATTGAAGGATTTTCTTCAAACTTGGCTCAAATGTTCACCTCAACAAGGGGATGTGCAGAACCCATGTTGCCCATGTGTCAGCTCAAGGTCAAGGTCACAATTGAAGGTCAAATATCAAACAATCAAATATTACACAGTATGTTGTGTCCGCTCTGTAAGTCCTACACTAATTGAAAGATTTTCTTCAATCTTGGCTCAAATGTTCACCTCAACAAGGGGATGTGCAGAACCCATGTCACCCTTTTGCCGCTTAAGGTCAAGGTCACACTTGAAGGACAAAACTTGACTTAGAAAATATTCTTAAATTTTAATACTTATTTGAATATTTCTGAATCTAGAAAAGGTATTTGCTTGAAACTTATATATATGAAGTGTCACAATTAAGATATGCTGGTCAAGTTTCATAACTCTGTATTGCATTTTGACAAAGTTATGCCCCTTTTTAAGTCTTCAAATTTACATACAATCAATACTAGACAATATGTTGTGTCCGCTCTATAAATGGAAGGATTTTCTTCAAACTTTACCCAAATGTTCACCCCAACTGGGCAATGTGCAAAAACCCATCTTACCCTTGTGCCAGGTTAAGGTCAATGCCACACTTAAAGGTCAAAAATTGACTTATAAATAAAATGTTTAGTACATTTGGAGAATGAAAGGTTATTTGTAACTGTTTCGAACATGATTTGATAATATATATTTATACTATTACCTGTACAAGTAGTCTTTTTTCACAAGAGATAATTTTTTTTATGGCGATGTGATTTACAAACTTCTGCCGTGTTGCCGTGTTGGGCTTTCTTTAGGGATTCTGTATTTTATCTATTTTATGATCACATCCGTGTTATTTGTGCCGTGTGGCGGCTGTAAAAAGTCTCCCCGTACATTTAATCAATGATGTTATATTTTCGATCCTTGAAGATCGTTCAGCACGACATTATTGTTGTGCTTGTGGTATTTTTTGTTTCAACTTTTCGGCATTTTCTATTTGGGTGATTCCAATATTCCTACTTGAATACTGTTGAATCACCCTTAGGATATGTTGCCTGCTTTTTAAATTTGTCTTTTGACGTCTTATCTGTGATATGCAGGCTTCATAACCTCAGATCCCCTTTCAAAATTCCATTTTATTTAGTTCCGCCCATTGTTTTCTCGTTTAGGGCACACGCATTCTTTTACTTGGGGACCATACGCCGCTTTTCATGGAATGACACTACTGTGTCACATTGAAGGTTCCATGATAACCGCCGTATGAAATTCAAATTTCACCATTTTAGTGTTTAAATGTTGAATTCTGCTTAAGCCGGTGCTAGGGGGCGTGGACGGTAACTTGCAATTTCCATTACCGTCCATGAACAGGCTCAATCAAACCGAGCCTGCAACATTTTCAATTTTGCCGTGTTGGGCTTTCTTTAGGGATTCTGTATTTTATCTATTTCGTAAGATTTTGGGTCATGGTAATTTTTCTGCTGTTTTTACTAAAATCATTAAACCTTTTATTAAAAGAGGTTATGACCCTACTATTTTAAGACATACTGCATGTTTAGTGTTCAACCCTTTTACAGTTGGACACTACGCTTTCCTCTTTTGATTGCATCTGACGGACCAAGTGGGAGACTCTATGATGGATAGTTCGTAAAGCCCTTTGGGACTGAATTGTCTTAATGTTCGTCTTCTGCCTTGCTTCGTCGGGCCCTTGTAGGTGATTTTCTTGTTGCTCTGTCTTCCTTTAGGACATTGAGTACTTTTGTTATGGTCATTGCGTTTACTTTTATATGTTTCTACATGATCATTTTAGTGTTTTAGGAACATGGTGGGGCTAAGAGCGAGGTTTGGTGCACCATTAACCGGTTTAAACTCCCCAGCAGTCATTATTATGCTGCTGACCGTTCCAAGGCGGCGCCCCACTGTGTTCCTCAGATGTATGTCTTATGTTGTTTCATACTGTTTTGGTGACACTTTTGCTTGTGTCCCTTGTTGTTTTCTCGTCTACGGTAAGTATCTTCCCCATTGCCTCTAGTTTTTATTTCTTTGATTACTCCCCACCCCCTCCCCCGGTCTCCTGTCCCCTTCCCCTTTGTGGGCCTATTTTTATTTTCTTTGAATTCCTAATCAGTTACAAATTAATTATCATTTAATGATTAACCTGTCCGTGCTCTGTCTTTGCCCTGTCCTGTTTTTGTTTGGGGTCCCCCTGGGCTCCTTGCCATTGGTTCTTGTTGCTGGGTCATGTGGGGGTTGCGTTCATTGAACGCCGCCTTTCCTTGTTGATCTTGTTTATCATATTTCATTTTTTATGTATTTGTGCCACTTAAGTTATTCCCTTAACCACCTTTCCAAGTCTTCTGTCAAGGACATTGGTGGGGTATGAATCGCATACAGCGATAGTTCTAGTTTCATACTGTTTTGGTGACACTTTTGCTTGTGTCCCTTGTTGTTTTCTCGTCTTCGGTAAGTATCTTACCCTTTACCCCTAGTTTTTATTTCTTTGATTAACACCCCCCTTCCCCCGGTCTCCTGCCCCCTTCCCCTGTGCCCTTTGACTTTGTGGGCCTATAATTCAATCATTTATTTGTTTTCTTTGTATTCCTAATCAGTTACAAATTATTTATTATTTAGTGATTAACCTGTCCGTGCTCTGTCCTGTGCCCTGTCCTGTTTTTGTTTGGGGTCCGCCTGGGCTCCTTGCCACTGGTTCTTGCTGCTGGGTCATATGGGGGTTGCGTTCATTGAACGCCGCCTTTCCTTGTTGATCATGTTTATCATATTTTATACACTATTTCATTTTATTTAAATATAAAAACGTATTTCCAATAAATAACTATAATAACACCCCGACTAAACAGTGGCTTTGCCACTCCAGGTTTTTGTTTGGCGCCTCCTGGGCGCCCTACTTGGGTGTGTCGGGGGGCAGCGTCCTGTAGACGTTGCCTTTGCCTTGTTGATCTTTATTCTTGTTATTTTTTGCATATTTTGATGATCTTTTTAAATGAGAGCACTCGACACTTCCATCGTAGATCCCTCGGCCAAAAAAGGGATGTTTAATGATATATGGTAATTATTAGTATTATCACCCCCCCCCCCCCCCCCCCTGTTTTTGTTTAATTAATAATAGCTGGGCTCAGTAGAAGAAAAAGCTTCAATGATATGTGTAAATTAATAATACTATAAATGGCTTTTTATAGCGAACGAAGTGAGCAGACAAAAATGAAAGAAAAAGGAAAGCTCATTTTTGTATCAAAATTATAAGTTAAATTGTTGAATTTATATTACATGTACTTGTGGTTTTTCAAGAGCGCTCCCTTACATCCACATTTATATTAGTTCATGCGTATGCGACTGAGAAGCATTTGTTGTGTATTGTGTAGTGTTAAGTACAGTGTGTTTTTTATTCATTTTGATAAATTATTGTACTACGGACTAAAGTTAATATTTAAACTATATTTTTATACATCTTATCCAAATATCAATGTAAAATAGATAAATACAGAATCATTTTATTTGATCTGTAAGAAAGAAAGAAAAGTTTAACAATATTGAGGATTTTTTGTACTTTACATGACATGTTTAAGCATAGTTTATACTATATTGATTTGCAAACACAATATCATATGCTATATTGATTTGCAAACACAATATTATAGCAGTTTGTTGAAAATGCCAAAACGAAGGCAAAACTCGACAAAAACTTCGGTTTCTTCAACAGATAAACGAGATGTTTCGCCCTATAAACTCAGGAAAATCAGTGAGAGTGGGTCTGGTGCATATGCCAGGGCAGGAACAAGTGAAAATAGTTCGGACAATTTCCACACCGGATATGATATCGATGGAAACAAACCGGATAATCCAAATGCAGATGAGTTTAAATCAACAGGTGTGTAGATTTTTGATTTACATATTTTTGTTCTTATTGTAAAGTTTTTCTCTTAATTTGACGCGATGTAGATATGTGATATATTTTCTGTTTTAAATAAAGCGAATTGCTATGATCACTGTTGTACAGCTTTCACCGTATATAGCCCCTCAAAACATCGAAAACGAAAGTAAAAAGATTTACGTCGAGTTCACCAAAGACAATAATATTTCAACTTATTTTTCTATCATAACTTAATCGATTTTTCCAACTTAAAATAATTTGTGAAGCTACATATTTCCCGGTTTAGAGCAGTAGAAATCTATTTGCTTTTTCTGCAAATGTAATACATTTTGTTAAATTGGCGATAAATTGTAGCGTATTTGTCCGAATTTGCGAAAGATGTTGATATACACCACTAAATCAAACCTTGAACGCATTTTCTGATGAATTATGATGGATAAATAAGTTAAAGATTACCTTGGGTGAACTCGACGTAAACATTTTTACTTTCGTTTTCGGTGTTTTGAGGGGTTATTTCCGGTGAACACTGTTGATCATGTGATAGTTTTGATCGCAAACTTCAACAGCCTGTAACCATGCTGTGAGGCACTGTTGGGTTAATTCCCAATTATCTTCGTCATTGGCTCGCTGGTATACGTCCCGGATATTTGACTTGAACATAACACTTAAAATATGGCACATTTGTAAAAAAAACAACAAAAGGAAATGCCACACCGGTTAAGTTTTGAGCCAAAAAAGCAGAAATTATCTAAAAATTGAGCAACTCGTACACGACTTGGTCACGTGCGTGTATCTTAAAAAAAGACTAACCACAGTTAAGATACATTTCCGAAACAGGTACATTTTGTTGTCGAAAATAAGAAAGCCACACTTCTTTCATTTTCCAAAATTTTGGTATTGCTTCGAAATCTCATGGCATTCTGATTCGTGTCTTTTTCAAACTATTTAGATAAATTGTTTTAAATGTTGCAGCAATGAACTAAAATTAATTAATGTACAAATAATTTGACATGCGATTTCAAGATCATTCCACATTTACAGGGGCTGGTCCTAACGGAACACCGTTGTTTTGATTTTTCTAAAGGTTTATTCACAATAAATAAACTAAAACTGTACACATCTTTTACTGATTGTTTTAAAATCATTAAGAAGTGAAAAAAATTTAAGCATAATTAACAGCAGAATTTTAATACTTTCTGATGGTAATTGTATACCTTTATTGTAAAATAGATGAAAATTCAATATACCACAAAAATAAATATTACATGTCTTTGTTGCTATTTTTCAAAAATAATGATGAGTTACAAATACGTTTCAAAAGAAAGATAAATAAGTTAAATGATAATTTGCTCTAGATATAATGTGTATGTCATTTAGTGGCGATTTTTTTATACTATAGTAACTGTTACAGATACTTTTCATGACCTAATTGTGTTATTGTTTTAATTTGAATTCTCCAGAAATACATCAGTTACATGTATTGGAACATTTCGTAAGTTCTAAAAGAGGCACAAGTACATACGCTTTTAAATGCCCATCATGCACTAGAAGTGCTTTTTTATTTATTTCTCAAAAGTTCTATAGTTTTGTGTCCAGTTATAGTTTCCAAAAATATAAACTCGTTGACCAACTTGACCTATTACCTGAACTATAGTTTGCTTCTGTTGCTTTTCGGCAATTAATTCAGTCGTGACTTAGTATATAATTTTGTATGGAATTCAAAATACTACTTTGTTTACATTTTGCCACATTGATTACACATAATTTCACATTCAAATCTTTTTTTTAACGTAATAAGCATCTTACATTCTCCAAACCATTATTTCAACATTATAAACTCATGTTTGTCCCTTGTAAAGAATGGAACATTTTATACGTTTCTGAGACTTTTCGGGCCTTTAAGCTTTTTAGCCTGAAATTTCTTTCTAGAATGTCACATTTACCTCGAGGAGAATCCAGTGACGCGTTTTTGTTTAAACTATTCGAAAAATTCGGCCCAAAGGAGTATCAGAACGACACATTGTCTAAAACAAAATTCTGCTATCGTGGCAAGAATTGAAAAGATTATCTGTCATTGTCACACCTATAAATTAAACGCTAGTGTGATCTGCTTGAAACAAGATAATTAACCATACACAAACGATCGGGAAACTTATGCATTGACGAATTATGTTGATTTGGCGTATGCTCAAACTATGCCTGGCCCATCTTTTATAAGCATTTATAAGGCAGTGCAAGTTTAACTAGCCGTTCAACGAAGGCAATCTTATAATGAATAATACAATTATGTTTTATCATTCACAGATGAATCCTTGAAAATAGAGAAAATTTCACCAAACAAAGTACTTTTCTCCCAAGATACCATTAATTCCAAGTTCAGTGACGGCAGGAAAATAGACGATACATTAGAAGATCTCAAAACCGGTAAAGTTACAGTGGAAATGATTCCAAAAATTACATTGATTTATCTGGAAGAAGAACAGGTCTATTTCTCACGTGATAATAGACGACTTTATGTCTTCCAGAAATATGAAGATTATTGTGATGAAGAAATTTTCATTCCAGTTGTTGTTAGAAAACCTTTAAAAGATGAAGAAAGAAGTCCATTTAAAACAAAAGGTTTAGGGAAATATATTGAAGTACAGCAGTATCAAAACAAGCAGGGAAAGAGAGTTGCCAAACGTGTAGCACAATGGACTCCTGTAAAAATATCTAAATCTTCCAAAAAATAGAAACAATGAATCAACTGAGTGGAAGTGATAGTAAATGAAAACAAAGTGTGCTGGAAAATGAAAATGACAATCAATTTAATTCTTCAAAGCTGAACAAATATTATTCGTTTTAATTTTGAATAGTTGAAAGTGTCACACACAAAAGCACTATAAAAACCATTGTAAGGAAATGTTTTTATCTTCTTTTAAAATTAATTATTAAAAGTATAATATTAAAGCATGGTATTTTGTACTTAAATGACCTTTATAATAATGAAATTTAGAAACATAAGCAATGTGTTTATACTGTAAGAAATAAAATAATAATGATAAATTATTTATCTACAAGCATACATTGGCAAAGTATACACTTTGACAAAACTAAAATTTATTTAGATTAATAACTAGAAATGCCTTTCAAGCAGCACGCCTCCAGATTCATCCTAATTTTCATGAAAATTTTGAAAATGTATTTAAAGGTAAAATATTGTGAAATGAACAAAGAAAGTACTTGACACAATATAATCGGCACTTAAAATCGACGTAAATTACCAAAAAGAGGTCAAAATATGCATAAATAGCCCCTACTGTGTTAGTAACGCAGTAGAAATATGGTGATAAATACTACAAAATACAAAATTAATAGCACATGAGATATAAATTATCACTTGAATCTTTAATTTGTTTATTTTTCTCAAAGTTTTAGCATGGTTTTTCCAAGTTTTATTTTCTTGAAATATTTTGGATCATCTGGAGGCATGCAGCTTTCATGATACCTGAAACGCTACTCATAATCTCTGGCCGGTCATATAACGTATTTGTTTAAAGTGACATTATGCTCATATTTTCATTGTCAAGTTGAGTATTATGAGTGATATATTTAGTATATATTTCAGACGATTAACTGTTATAATGATGATTGGCAAACCTTTGATATTGATAAGTGTTAAGTATAAAATATAACTGTCTAAAATATAACAAGAATGTCCCACTCATTTCATCAATTGAACCGTTACAAGTCAATTTCGATGAAAATAGAAATTTTCCTTGGACCATGCAAGTTATTTATTGTTCATGTGACGTAAATTATGAAATTAAAAGGAATTATGGCGAGATTTAAGTTATTTTGGCACGTAAAATGGATAGGCATAATGTCGCTTTAGGTATTGTTAGTATATATTTAATTTTTCGTTTTACTTAAAAAAATCGAAAAGTCTGAATAACAAAAATTCTAAACGAGCAGAAGTTCAAGTCTGAGTGATATAACGCACACATAGTATACACGTACATGTATGTAGATGTTTCACTCTGAATTACAGCATAAAATATATACATCAACATGACAACCTGACCTGTAGCATATACACCAACTGCTGAATGATAGTGTATAGTGTGTTGGTTTTAAAACTGATCTATTGTATATGCAAATATTAAAAGCATATTATGCCTCGGAAATAATTTTATTCATCTCTAGAAGGGACATCAACATATGTTTAATTAAGTTTTAATAATGTATTTAAAGCATTATAACATGCACCTCGCCGCGCTGAATGATAAATAATTTGTTATAAACGTAAAGTGGTATTAAGACTTCAATACTAAATACTTAATCATTAACTGTACTAATTGCAAAGAAAGCTAAAGGGATTCTTAAGGGATTTCGTTTTTCTCTATTTTTTATATATGGCAAATATATGTTGTTACCTTTCTCATTGCTGCTTTTAAACAAAATATTAACCTCGGGAGATACTCCTGAAATGTTGTCACCAGACATGTTATAGCATTATACAAACAAGGCAATGTTACCGATAAGGCAAACGAGGGCATTATTTATGGGGTACTGAAAAATAGGTTAATACAATGGGTAGAAAAGGATTGGTGTTTATATTGAGGAGGTCAAGGATAACATTTCTGTGCTACATGGTCTTATTAGTCCTATGTTAAATAAAGGTTTACAAAAATGTGTGTATTGATTTAAGCAAATCTTTAGATTATATAGTAAGAGAAAGCTTATGAGTTACAAATTTGTGGACATATGACAAACACTATTAGATCTATATATTCAGCAGTAATATATTTTTAATGCTACAAACAAATAGGTAAGCACTCTCAATGCACGACTTGTGTAAGTCCATCTCCCTTTTCTTTTGTTTTTATTTTATGATATAGAAGATATGTCATTCGATGAGGATTTTGAAGGTATTGATGTCTGAAGGTATTGATGTCTGAAGGTATTGATGTCAACTTGCTTCAAATTTCTTATGATAATAAGAGAAAACTGGTTGAGAAAATTGATTTAGCTCATTGAATTTTAGCTATGTGTTATTGCCAGTGTTGTCAACTAGCCCAATACGTGCATGACGTCATAGACTCTGATTTGATAAAGGGACAATAGGCCAAGCAAGTGCAACTGGACAGTGAACAGGTAAAATAAGAATAACTTTACATTTTGCCATTATTTTGTTCAATGTTACATTTTTCTATGAAGAAATAATCAATAGTGTATGTAACCAACGGAAAATGTCTACAAATATCGTCCAGAATTTATTGGTAATGATCCATTCTTAAAAAGAATGGAACAGTCGTTTTTTTTAATTCGTGCAGTTTTTTTTTGTTTTATATCATAAACATTTTTCATTATCAATCATTGGTCAATCATCATTTAAATAGTATATTACAAATTCAACTCAACTTGACAGCGTAAAAAGGGCATAATGTCACTATAAGCAAAGCACTGGAGTTAGGAAAAACGATCAGTCAAGCAAATGTAGTGAAACATGTTATAAAGGGGAGAATGTCTGGTGCTCAGGCAAGCTTTCGTGAAATTTAACAAATTTCTTTCCACAACTGAGGTCTTTATTCTAATTAAAACGTTATATATTGAGAAATGACAATTTTTTAATAGTTTATCATTTTCGCAGGGTCACAACTTTTGCAATTACAAAAAGAAGAATAAATTATGAATATTCTTTATTCTAAAATATGTTTGCATTATATAACATCAACTAATATTTTTGTCCGCTACTCGAACACCAGTGACATCATTTTGAAGTGACTTGTGGCTATTATGTTGTACCTGAAAGATACAATGGTTATTTCTTAAACTGTGCTTAACAATTAACAAACCTTTGCATAATCTGCAGTGATTTAGTCTGTTCGTACATTATTACAGGTACAAATTATCATAACCATTTGATCAAAGACGTATCATGCTTTGAAAGCAAATAATGATAAAATTACAGTAAGTGGATGCTATACACATAGTGGGTGAAAGTCAAACCAACAAAAAAGTATTATTGCGATGCAACTGTCAAGCTTTACTGGGTCTTCTCTCCTGCTCATCGGTCGAATGTTTCACTATTATTCACTGTCTGAAGTACCGTGAGTGTATTCAGTGAGCTGCGAAGGGAGCTTATACTGAGTCGTGTGCCTCCTTACGTTATTTGAATGAGCATTGACCTGCGTAAAACCTCCAGCGTCCCGAAAGCTTTGCTTCATATATCTTGATATGAAAGAAATCATTGACATCAGCATTAGTACAAATTCTAAACTTAAACCGTATTTTATTGTAAACGTGACATACACTCTTTGATTGCAGTCATCTCTTTCAGTTATTAATTTTTCATGTGATCATGAATCATCCACAAGTCAGCTACCCATGTAGGTACTTTATTGAATAGTCGAGCTTGTACCTATAAACAGAAACATATAACGATCACAATTATAAAGTTAATTCAACTGCTTATTTAACTGTCATGTTTGAATACACTGAGATGAAAACTAAGATACGAAAGCATTTCGGGCAAAATATCCATTTAAAGATAAATTGAGCTTGTTTAAATTTTAGGTATGTAATATTAGTCATATCTAAATTTGAAGATACTTGATAATGCATCTGTATATAAAGCATTATTATACCGCAAATTCATCTATAAATGAAAGCCTGTTTCCATATCCATCCACCAGGTATCTTGTTTCTGGGAATTCACTGCATAGCGCATGCTCAGCTACCATAACAACAGGAGTCGCAAGGTGCTTCGGTGGCGGCCATTCAGCCATCGGCTTTGGTAACCATGATAACATATATTCTTTTGTGTAATCTTTCTTGACATGTTCTGGTGTGTCATTCCACATCTCATCAATCTCATTTATATTTCTTTGTGTCTGTGTGTAAAAAAAAAAGTCTTTGTGTTATAATGACGTCAATAGATAGGAAATTAATGTTATTATAAAGCTTTTAAAATGACATTAAATGACATTGTAGACCGCCTCCGTGGTCGAGGGGTTAGAGTCGATGACTTCTAATCCAGTTACCTCTCTGGCGTGGGTTCGATCCCCGGGAGATGCTTTGGTAGTTTAGCGCGGAGGAAGGTAGTCTAGTACTGGTGTAACTCTCCAGGAACGATGGTTAGGAAACTACCCGCCTATATGACTGAAATACTGTTGAAAAAGGCGTAAAATGAAGCAAACAAACAAACAAACAAAATGACATTGTAAATTACTGTTGCTATGGATTCTTTAGTGGTAAAAAAAACAGTGCAACATTTTTATATAGCTATCTTGCTTGCCCTCAATCTACCTATAAATTAGAACGCTAGGGGTCCCTGGTTTGTCTCTCCGGCTATGCAAAATTTCTTCCTGACAACTAACCTCGAACATCGAGTCTTTTTGTCATTTATTTCTTACCGCTAATTCAGAAATCATATAGGATTAGTATAAGGTCACATGCGGCGAAATGGTAAATTCTGGTTGGCTATCAAGAACAGCCGGTTAGGTGGGTCGACCCCTATGATATTACCAAAGCTGTGTTAATCGGATTTTTTTAATCATTAAGTATAAGAACAGTACCCTACCATTGCTTTTGACTGGACAGACGTACATGTTCCGTACATTCCTGGCTCTATTACAATCACTTTAACTCCAAACTTTTTCATCTCCAGTCTCAGAGAGTCAGAGAGGGTCTCAAAGTCGTGCTTCGCCGTTTCATAATTGGATTGACAAGGTCTGCTCAATAGCCCGTGAACGCTGGTCACATTGATAATCCTGCCTTCAAAATAATAAACGTCTTAAAATATTGATTGATGTGTATACATATTATGACGCTTCATTTTGACAGTAAGACTGGAGAAAAGGATTTCACAAACAAAACAAAGATTAGTGATTGAGTGAGGTAGGAATGCGGGGTGAGAGGATGGAAGTCATACATAGTCAGTCTGTCAGTCTTAAATGCTGACCGAAAATTAGAACAATGCGGAATAATGCGTTTATGAATAGAGCTAGACGAATATGTTTGTTCAAAAAGGCATTATTCATTTTTTGAAGTAACAAGGACTGAAATATGTTACCACGTGTTATGTTTTGGTTATCCATGTAATTTTTAAATAATAATAATTTAATAACAACGATGAACTTATATGCCTGCATATACTATGTGATATGCACCGGGAACTAATCGCGAAAAACCTGTGGTTAAGACTGACTGCCAGACAATTTATGACAAAAATATAAATATGAATTCAACATTTGGATCAATGCAAAAGACTTGAAGGTTAAATTCAAATTTGATTAAATATTCAGTAAGATGAATGAGGTTATGAATCATATCTTGAAATGAGATCATCTGATCTTAAATCGAAGAAATTTTAAGAAAATATAATGCAGTTTGTCTCTGTTTCTGATCTGAATTGGTCTTTAATATGCAATATAAAATAAATGCACGGCAATTGTCATGATACAAGTTTCTTTTTCTGGAAAATAATATCTAGAAATGTAAGAAGAACCAAAATATAGAGTGGTTATAAGAAGTAGTCGATATAAAATTGTGTTGTAAAATCAAAATATATCCATAGACATGCATAAAGATATAAAAATGGTCTCAGTTTAAATTGTTGGTCATACGATTCTTACAGTACAGTTTTGGAAAATACTTTAATTTGGAACCTAAATATAAATAAATTGGCAACATATATGACAATTTTCTGTATTATAGACAAAACAAAGCCCGTTTAAGAGATTTATGATTATATACGAAAGACAAACAGTTTTATCAATGCTCTTATCTATTATGGCAAATTTCAATGTTTTATTGTACTTACAAAGTTGAAGGTCTATCGGAATATCAGAATGAGAAATGACTTGGCGGCAGCGATGCATCATAATTTTGATTTTATTTTCATAAATACATAATTATATTTATCCATGCTGTTTCGAGAAATTAATAATGTTTGTCAATGTATAAACTCATCTATTACTTGACACGAACTAGGAATTATTATTATTTTTTTATGAAGGAATTTAGAAATCATTATGATATTCTTAGCTCAAAAATCTCGCAATGCGATCAATACACAGATTTCAGTTTAACAGATTCACACATTTAGATGATCTGTTATCACTTACCCTTTGATTGTCTGATTTGCGGAAGAAACTTCTTTAACACTCGAATACCTCCATATAAGTTTACATTGAAACCCTTCTCATAAATAGATAACGGTGTTAATTCAACCTCACCGTACATGTTCATCCCGGCGTTGTTGATGACACCAAAAAGACCTAAATAATAGAATAATAGAGATAATAGTACACAAACCTGTAGGTGTTTATTTTATAACTATTGTAATTGTTTTTAGGGGCAAGTTGTTTGAACAATAAGTCGTTAGAACAACGTTACGAATATAGAGTAAGTAACACATCGAAAAACATATTTTGTAAGGTTCATGTAAAAATACAAATTGTAAATTACACAAGAGTAAACTTTATCTAAGGTTAAACATACAGCTTTAAATATTATCTTTCAAAATTGTTAAGATAATGTTCTAATTAATTGTACCATAGCTAATTTAATAGCTTTAAACAAAGTAAGTAATAGTTTATATTATGATATTATTATACATTGATGAGCTCAATACTGAATTCTATTGGACGAGTATACTGCTGTTAGCTCTAGTGGCTCGGCCAATATAGGTTTTGCAGCTATGTATGAGACCAGTAAAGAATCAGTGTAGTTTTCAAAAGTGAGACTAAAAAGAACTTTTTATGTCACACCACCCATTCATATTGAATAACAGAAAACATTCAAAATCAATAGTGCTTTTTTTCAATCATAAAAACTCGGAAAATTGAAACCAGGCAAGTTTTAGTTCAATATGTATTTGATACGAGTTGTTTTGGACTCTGTAAATGGAAATGAAGAATAATTGAGGAAATTGGACGAAAGAATGATGTATTTTCGAACTTTACGTCTTGCAAATTTTGGACGTTCATCGAATATATTTTATGTTCAAAATAAAACTTTTCATACAGGAAGTCATCTTCGGCTGCGTGGCCTAATGGATAAGGCGTCTGACTTCGAATCAGAAGATTGCGAGTTCGAGTCTCGTCGTGGTCATAATTCTTTTGTTAGTCATACAACGTGCAATACAATTTTTATATCATTATTATATGAATTATCCGCATTGTTTTCTTTTTGACTCAAATAGCATCATAAAAATATAATTTATATCAAGGTTATAGATAACTGTTTTAGTACGGGTAGATCATGTTAAATAACGTATTTACAAATAACATAATAATAAGATAAATCATTTACATAAAAAAATATTTTTTATTATCTTTTCTCTCTTTAATTATATATTAACAGATGAATAAAAATGTTTGATGAAGATAAACATCTACATGAAATCTCAATAAAGGATGATTAAGGTGTACAATACAATCGGTATACAGTTATTAGAATTTACACTAGATTGTATGCAAATACATGTAGTAACATAGGTTCTTTTACCACAAACAAAACCCCAACAAATACGATTGGAAAACATTTCTGGTATAGATAAACACATTTTAAAAGGCTGACCGTTACTTGGCACATGTTTAGATACGTATTGAAAAGCATCTTCTATACTCTGATCATCTGTAACATCAATTTGAACAACATGTATTTTGCCCGATGATTGCTTGCTTAGGGCATCAGCTCCCTCGCCTTGCTTATGAAGACACCCAGCAAACACCGTAAACCCAAGTTCATCAAAATGTTTAGCGAATAAGAACCCTAGACCTGAAATAAGCACGATGTTACTGGACATGTTAGTAATTTTCTTCCGGTGACTTCATCTGTTTAAAAGTCACCTGTCAGCAACGGCCACTTTGGCTATTAATAAGGACTTGTCTTCAAGTCCGACGGTAAAACATATTCTGCAAATTAAGTCCATACCTATTACGACCATTATATGCTTAAGCTTCAGTATTTAAGTTGCATTTAACATACTTTCTATAAATTAGAAAGTAAATTATATTTTTAATTCATGTAGCTGGAATCATTTATAATTATAATACTGCCAGCACAGCGTTCACTTAAATTGATTCAATAATTTACCTGAGTCGCATCCGGTTATAAAAACTCCCCTTCCTTTCGGCGAAACTCTCCTTTCGTAATTCCGTATATAAATATATCGGACTATCTTATATATAACATATGCGAATAAACATAACAAAAAATATCTGAAAAATAGATACGGCAAAAACAGAAGCGAAACTGCAAAAAGTGTCCTGTAAGTTTCATACATCATGTTTACGAGGATTTTAACTATATTTGTAACTGGTGACCTAATGCACTCTAAGTGAAGGCCAAATATGTTAAACAACTGTAGAATAAGTCGTATACTGATAACAGTGTAGTTAAACTTGAATGACACCATGTAACATTTATTTTATACGTGACAATTATTGCCATGCGCGCGTAATCACAAGGCGGTCAGGATTGCTTTATATAAAAGGGACTTCACTGAATTCTTAACATAAAAAGACCGAAAAGATATTTCAAAGATTGTATTTGAGGTAGTTCTGGACCAATACCCTGTGTGCAAAATATCGGATTATTCGCTTATTCCTTTTTTTCCAGAATAATAATTATAATAAACATTTTTATTAAGCAAATGACTTAGAAATAAAAAAAAAAACGACTCTTACTCATATCGGCGTTAGATTTTCACCATTTTTTATTTTTAGTAATAGACTTCTTTCCTTCTTTATTTCTTATTGTCTTCTCCGTGACACCGCTGGTATTTCAATTATTTTCACTTCCATGTTATAGTAACATAATGACGATTCGCCATTAAAGAAAGGTCATACATCTAATTCATTTATATATAAAAATTTATCATTTCTGCGGTACATCGTTTTAATTTCGCATTAACATATAAAATGAACCACACTACCGAGGTATATTCCGATGATTTTGTAAATTTATAAATGATATACAATGATTTTTGTATGGTTTTCGTTGTCACAATATCATCTTTGGCTATCATTTTTATATCTTATGTAATTTTGCCTATTATATATGTTCAACGCTTTGTAGGAGCAGATTTGGCTCGGAGCACATTTGTCTCACGAGGTGTGACTGATGTGCTTGTAAACACTCATATTTGCGACAAATTGGAAATGTGACAGATGTGTTCGACACACAATAGAAGGGACATTTGAAGCACATTTGTCTCACATTCTTCCATAAATTTCTAAAAAGGTAATAATTAAGTGCGTAAAGCAGCCTCCAGTCATTGTTATGTGTTTTCGGTATTTATAATACCGTTTTAGGTCACTTTCGGTCAAAAGAAATTCCTGCCTCTGCATAAGAGTCATGTATTTACTTAAAGAATATTCCTGTTCTGCATGTCAAAATAATATTTTTTATCATGGCACTATTCAGAACCCTAACAGCGAGTGCATTCTTATCGTTATTGATTGTGAAACGTTTTTTTACCGATGCTTGAAGTTTTATAAATGATTTAAGAAATATTCAAAGCAACAACAAGGCAGTATCTACGGTAGCATAGAAGGGAAAATATGCTTTTCTTATTGATGATTACACTTGACGTAAGGTAAAACATTGAAAACAATTCTATCGTGGGGAAATATGTGACAAATAATTCATAAAAAGTGACACGAGAGAAATGTGCTTTCTTGTCCCTTAAAAGACATGAGCCAAATGTGCTTTCTTGCCCCTTAAAAAACTTGATCGGAGCACATTTGTCACAGAAATGAGTGTTATGGGTTGACATTTGAGGCCCCATTTGTCTCATGTGGGACAATATGCGACTGCATCGGTTTAACGTAAGACAAATGTGCTCCGAGACAAATGTGCTCCTACAACGCTGCCATACTTTATTATCTTCTCAGCATGTCTCAAATGTGCCTCGGTCCATTTATTACACAAAAAAATCATCACGAGGAAAATTGTAAACCCAGATTGAAAAAGCATTTTAAAGCATAACGTTTTGTTATATTGCCTAGTAGATTATTATAATTATAGATCATTTATTCTAGGTGTGACAAGTGTCTGTTCATTCAAGTTTTAACCATAAATTTCACCCGTTTTCTTGTTTAAACGTTGAATTCTGTTTAAGCCGTTGCACGGGTTGAACTTTCCATTACCTCCATGAACAGGTTTAATCAAACCGTGCCTGCAGCATTTTCAATTTTGTCGTTTTGGACGTTCTTTACGGATTCCGTTTCCTCTATTTTAATGAGAAACTGTCATAAATACGCGGCTTTAAGTTTGTGTCATTAGTCTTTAAATGTCAGATTGTCAAGTTTGGCCGAAACTTGCATCAATTAACTTAGATACCTTCGAAATATAATGAGAAACTATGCAGATTTAAAACCAAAATTATTCATTTAATCTTTCTTTTTTTCATATCAGCGCTATTACAAAGTCATTTTGCCAGCCAGACGTCTGTGATTCGATGAAGTTAAACCGCGTTCATAAAATGTCTGACTACAGACAAGCAATTATATAAACTATTAAATCTTTCTATGTATAATGGGATTAACCTTCAAAACGAAAGGGAAAGGGATAACAAATAGCCGGTTAATTTATAGAAGTAAAGTTTAAAATAAAAACAAAACAAAAAGGCTGAAAAATACAAAATTTGCTGCGGAATCTCTTATGTTCTTAAAGTTTTTTTTTATTGTTGTTGGTTTTTTTTTATTGTTCACCCATAAATTTGGCGCATCAGAAATCACCAAAAAGAAAACAGGATCAATTTGCGAAAATTACTGGCCTGACATGTTTAAAACCTCGTGCTAAATACAGCGTTATGTAATGAAGTATCAAAATGAATTTTACAATTACGATTCACTTAATAAGTGTACATTAAGGCAAATAGTCATTTATTTGAAATGAAAAACTTGACCAATGACTTACCTTTTTTGATAAAGATATAAAGCTATCATTTTGCTAAATAAAGGAACGAGTGGATAATGGGGGCGGGAAAGGGGTTATGCGGAGGACATGGCCATGATACAAAAAGGTATCAGAATACTTACAATGAATTCCGGTTAATTGTAATTTATGGCATTACAAATCAAATAGAAGTTTTTAACCTTTATTCTAAACTATACAAGCAAGTACTTTGACGCATATTATTCATTACCAAATCTGCATTTTTAACCAACAAATTGAAAACTTGACTTTTATTAAAACTAGCATTTTGCAATATTAAATACGAATTTGTGGATAAAAACAACGGCTAAATATAAAAGGTAAAAAGGAAATGTTATATGCATAATTTCGGACATTTATTAAATTTCGACAGCTGTTAAGATTTTGTTTGGTTTTCTATTATGATTTCTTTTATGTTTTGCCCTCCGCTTTTCGCCAGATTTAGATTTAGTGTCATCGTCTCCATCTCCATAGACATGCCTTTTTGGAGGCATTTAAGTATGTTTACTTAAAGTGAGATGATAGTTGTCCAATATAATTATTGGAAACATTAATATAAATTTCACATGTTCACATCTCAAACATTCTGTATATGAACATGTAAAAATTTATTCTATTTTATGTCAATTATTTAAAAGCATTTACGTGTGTTTCATAGCCACGAATAATGTGTTACCGCCTCAACATAAATAATAGTGCCGATAATTATCGAGTGTTAATGTAATAGCTGCCGGAAATCACCTACACGTGTTAATTCAACACATAAAAGTTTTCAAATACAGTCACAGTTTTAAAGGTGGGCATTATTTATAGAATATATGATTTTTTTATTAATGGAATAAATTTATGGACAAATTAAATGTTTAATACAAAGTTTAAAATCACGTACATTTATAAAGTAATAGAAATAGAACGTATAGTATATAAATAACACATGGGTTTGTGGGTAACAGTCAAAAATACTGTTACCCGAGGCGTAGCAGAGGGTAACGGTATTTTTACGAGGAATGATATTTTTACTGTTACTCACAAACCCATGTGTTATTCATTTTATTACCCCGAACAAAAATACTATGATGATCTGAAATTGTCAACTAAATCTAACTGTAACAAAAATTAAATCAAGAGTAACAATAACTAAACTGTCCTTACCTTGTTAGTTTAAGTGTACTTTAGGCCTACTTGAGAAGTTTCTTTTTCTTTTATTCCTTAAGCTTGTGATGATATCTACTACTCATAAACATACAATAAGCTGTGGTTTATTTTAAAAAAAACTAAACACTAACCCATTTATACGGCTATCATCTGTGAAATCTGATCCTTCTGTTTCCAGAAAATTCTTCATATCCCATGTCTGTCCACCATATCTGTAACGTTTCACAGATTAAAATTGTTAAATAATCCTTTGTTGCATGCTTAAATCGTCTGCATGTTCCAGTTTGACACATTATTATTTATATTGCAATTACTTCCGTTAAAAACGGATGTTTACTTTTTGACTATTCAACAAAAAGATATTTTACACGCGAGAAGCACTCCAGGGTACAAATAACTAAATTTTATGGGTGTCATAGTTACTCCAGAGAAGATGGTGATGTCCTATCGTGGTGAACGTTAAAATAAGAATAACTCGAGAGAAAAAATGGCGGCCATTTTTTTTCATTTTACATGTATTTAGAAAATAGACCTCGTGACCAGATTTTATACCGTTAAAAAGTACTAGTACAAAATTCTCAGTCACCTGGTACACTTGCATTAACAGTAAGAATAACTCCCAGAGGCCAATGGGAAATTAACATAACGAAAAAAGTGAGGGGTAACAATATACATTGTTACACAAACTAACGCAATCTTTCTGGATATAGTGACATACAGAATGTATGCGAAAATAATAAGATTTCTCAAATGTATGTGTCACATATGGAAGTCATACTGCTTACTTTGAAATCTTCTTTTTATAATTGTAAATACTACCGCGGTTGTGCTGGCTTTAACATTGTTCTAAAATAAATACAAAAGTAATGGAGTCAAAATAGAAAAAATGTCTTAAAATTTCAGATAGAAAAAAATCAATGTTTGATTTTTACAGAAAGGAGTTTTATTGCAAATGGTTCATGAAATTATATCCATGCCGATTTGTTTAGTTGACTTGTGTGTTCACATTTATGTACATTGTAATAACTATTATGTTGTTTATTAAATACCTTACCATACTCATTAATATAATAACTTACATTGTTATAGCCATTAAATTAAAGTACAAGCCAGTTATTGTTGTGCTGTTTATTTTAAGTTGATGGTTCATTTTTCTTATGTCTACACTACAGAGCTCTGCACACTATGCTATATTAGTAACAGTTGTCTGTTTAACAGTTGTAGAAACCGACAGAGATATATATTTACTATGGGAA